ATTAAACGAAGTGGGAAATAGAAAAATGAAATGGAATAGGGCGAAAAGTACTTACGCTCCCAACAAAAATGCTTGTGGAAATTCATTTGCTGCGAATTGATTTGAAATCCCATTGCCTTTGACAATTGGCCGACCTGAAAAAATTGAAAAAGTCAATTAACATTCGGTTCACAAAATGATTTTAGATCTTTTGCAAGTCAGTGATTCAACTGCATATTTGCAGCTGAGTAGGCCTGAGCTGAGCTGAATTTGCTTAACCGTGACTCTCAGCTAGAAATGACAATACTCACCACTGTAAGTGTGGTAAAATACCGCTTCAGTCACCTGAGTTAGCAAATTCAGCTCAGCTCAGGCCTACTCAACAGCAAATATGCAGTCTCTGATCGGTTTTAATTGGAAACCAATGAAATTTCAAACAAACTTTGGTAAGAAGTTGTTTTGCTGTAAGAATTGCATGTTCATACCCTTACATGACTTGAATACCTTGAATTGGTAATCCGTGCATGGTTTGAATGGGAACATTCTGTTGCATTCGAAACACGTCGTGTTGTTGTTGTTGCTGTTGTGGCGTCTGTGGTGGCTGTTGCTGCGAATAAAATGAATATATTGTATTGATATAGAAAGTGTAATTATTTGTTCACCAAGTACGAGGCATTGCCCAATTTCAATGTTAAAATTTCGGAATGAATAACAATTATTTTCCATGCAAATAGTTTGCAAATGAAGATTATTAAATAATTGGTTTTTAAAACAGGATGATTTAAAAATGGAAAACGATTGTTTAACCCCTTGGTGCATTCATTTTTCTCCATAAGCATAAACCTGGATTCCTTATGGTTTAGTCAGGAAATGCGATTGACATAAATCAGAAAACAATCAAATTGTTCAAAAGTATCAAAAATATCTAGTCTAATTTTGAAAGGAAATAATTTATTTTGTCAAATTTTCGTTTTTGCGCACATACTGGTTCATAACACGACAACCGCTTAACCCTCTAATACATACAACCGCCTCTAGATGGGCAACATTTGAACGCCTGTAGAACGTAAACCGTACATCGAATCACATTGCTTCAAAAGCAGTTTTTATTCATCAAGAATTTTGAATAGTAGTGTGCTTGAACAAGTGTCAGAGTTTAAATATCTAGGGCGTGTTTCCTCAGAAGATAGGAAATTCAACAACGAATTTGAACATTGTAGGGTGAATGGCAATAAGGTAGTTGCACAACTTAGATCGCATATGTTTAATAAGGGTGAATTGGGTGAAGAGATTAAGTTGATGATTCATCGGTCAATCTTTGGGCCAACTGTCTTGTATGGAAGTGAGAGCTGGTTCGATCCTAGTGATTTAATCCATGATCTTGAGGCATATGATATGAAAGAGTTGCGTATGATTTCTGGAGTGTCGCGTAGGGACCAGTGGGAGAATAGAATTAGGAATGAGAGAATTCGTAAAGATTTGAATGTGGATTCGATTGATGAGGCTGTAAGAAAGTCTAGATTGAGATGGTTTGATCATGTACAGGGGATGAATGAGTCTTGTTTAAAATTGAGATATCTAAGAAAAAAATTATTTTCTTCCATACAAATTTTTGGTTTATATTTACGAAAAAAAATCAATTGTACCAAATATCTCAACCATTTTCTCTGTGTGAACTACGTCATTGGAGTCTTCGGGTATTCTGGAAAAATTTGATACCATCTAGCTGATTTTGGTCCGCTTGACATTGCTGTTTCATTTGATTTCGGTGCCTATTTTTGGATGGCGTTTTATAAATGTGAAGACAAATACTGTTTGTACCCGTGTGCGAATATTGTAACTGACCAGTCAGTTAACTAATTTCGGACAAAAATGACTTACTTTGATTGACATTTCAGTACAACGTGTAATTTAAGTCTATCAAAGTTAACGAGTTAAAATAAATTGCCTATTTTGGGACAAAGTGATTTTCTTCAAACAAAAACATAAATTCAATCAACTACAGTCAACTGAATCTAAGGTTAGTCAGTCATTTTCTTTTCCACACGGGTATGCCTTAAATATGACGTGAAATACATGAAATGCAAAAATGGAGACAGAAAATCGTTTCGTTAAGTGGTGAAAACACAAACTGTGCTTTAGCGCAGCATGTAGCAGACTGAGGAGAGAGACGGTGCCGAATGATTGCCGAATGCACACTTACGTATATGTTCGTTTTGACGTTTAGTATTGCCTAGTGCGAGAAATGAGTGGTGTCCCAGATTACCCCCTCTTTCCCCAATAATAAATACTGATTATTATGAGTGTCTAAAAAGTCAAAAAAAAATTCTTAAAAAAATAGAAAACATACAGACAATTGGATGTTTTTTCTGCTTTGAATTATGTTTTATTGTTTATTTCTATTTCCTTTTTTTAATTGTCGAGCATGAGTTTTTGTTTTCTTCATGACTCAATGCTTCATCTCTCCTCTATTCATCTTGCTCTCACACGTTTCTGTGTATGTTGCTAATTGTTCACGGTGGTGGATGAGTGCATATTTCGTTCGAATTCTTCCAAGCTAAGGGCTTGCGTTGCATCCAACGATGGGAGTTTCCCGGCAGATGCTGATTCCGAATATACAGAGAGGGAGAGAGAGAGAAAAATGGTGAAAACCAATTTAAAATCAAACTTTCCATTGAAGTACAACGTAGAATTAGAAAATTGGCATATTTAATTGAAATATACCTTGAGCCAAGAGCTCTGGTGAAAACCAACGAGCCAGTTGGTTACTAGTGGGCGAGAGTGTTCCATCTCCATTGCTTCGTTGTTGTTGTTGCTGCTGTTGCACCTCATTATGAACCACTGTAAAAAATAGAGAGAGAGAGGGAGAGAGAACAATGAAGATGGCAAATTATTATTCCGTCGTTTGTTTGATTTTGTAATCAATTGATTGATTCCCTTTAAAACTGATCATTATAAATTGAACGATTATTTGTTAACGAGAGTTTACACAAAACGTAAATTTATCTAATTCTAGTAATATACATTTTTGACTGAAGATCTTCAAATCAGGAGAGAACCCGCAATAAATCGTTCGCCTCAATCAAACGAAAATATATATGAACGAAGAAGAAAACACAAATTATTTTCATCGCTTAAAACTTACTCATTTGTGGACCGCCCATCATCTGGTGTTGTTGCATCATTTGATGGAATTGTTGCGCTTGTTGAGCTTGCTGAAACTGTTG